TTTTTTTTTTAAATCCAAACCATTGTGACACCAGATCTAATTAGTGGCACTTGTCAGCGTATCCACTGTTAGCGTAACACACCCGCTTTAAGGACACCGACTGCTATTCAATCTATAACAGTAAAAAAAGTTTTTTGTTTTTAAATCCAAGCTATTGTGACACCAGATGTAATTGGTGGCACTGACTGGGGAATGGGCACAGTATGCACTGTGAGCCTGACACAGAAGCTGGCAGCAGTGGCAGACAACTGACTGCTATTCAATCTATAACAGTGAAAAAAGTTTTTTGTTTTTAAATCCAAGCTATTGTGACACCAGATGTAATTGGTGGCACTGACTGGGGAAATGGGCACAGTATGCACTGTGAGCCTGACACAGAAGCTGGCAGCAGTGGCAGACAACTGACTGCTATTCAATCTATAACAGTGAAAAAAGTTTTTTGTTTTTAAATCCAAGCTATTGTGACACCAGATGTAATTGGTGGCACTGACTGGGGAAATGGGCACTGTGAGCCTGACACAGAAGCTGGCAGCAGTGGCAGACAACTAAGTGCATTTACATTACATAGAAAAATAAAATAAAAAAAAAGCATACCCTTATCCCTAACCTAGCTATGCTTTTCCCTATCTTATGAACAGCAGCTACACTTTCCCTCCTCTTACTAAGCATGCAGCTTGAGAATGAATCTAAAATGGATGCTGTCCAGTAGGTGGGAGGGTCTGCTAGGGAGGCTGTGCTGCTAATTGGCTGAATGTGTCTGCTGACTGTGAGGTACAGGGTCAAAGTTTACTCAATGATGACGAATAGGGGGCGGGTCGAACCGCGCATATGTTCGCCCGCCGTGGCGAACGCGAACATGCTATGTTCGCCAGGAACCGTTCGCCGGCGAACCGTTCGGTACATCACTAGCAGATTGTAGTTTGGTTGGAAGGTACAGTCATGGGAAAAAGAAAGTACACCATCTTTGAATTCTATGATTTTACACATCAGGACATAATAACAATCATCTGTTCCTGAGCAGGTTTTGGTTTTATTTTTGTTAAATAAATTATGGCACTGTTTAATATCTCATGTGTTGTTGTTCATTTGAGTAGCATTTACCTAATTTTAGGACCTTGTAAGGAATAGATGATTGTTATTATGTCCTGATATAAAAACCATAGAATTAGAAGAATGTGTACTTTTGTTTTCAAATGACTGTACCTGATACTTTAATTTTAAGTATGAGAGAAATCATATTTGCCTTAACAGAGTGTTTACCAGAGTGGTTCCCTAATACTTTTATGGTCTGAAATCATATCTTGCCTAAGATAATGTGAGATGAAAGATTTGAACAGGAGTAGAAAGAAAATGAATGAAGCAATTATTTTTTCTTTTTCATTTTCTTCCAATCTATGTGCTTTTTCTTTTAGCCATTTAGAGTACGAGGGTGCATATGCTGGTTCATCTTTCTGATATAGAGCTTGATATTTTCATTTTAGGTATTCAGAATATGATTGAAAGGGCTTTTGATGTTCTGTGGGCCAAAATAAGTAAATGTCCTCAATTTTAGCAGTGGGAAGAAATGAGAATTGAAGATCGATTTGTTTGGAAGTATCCTGATTTGACGTGCTTACAATCTAGCTAAATGATGATATCTTATTGTAAAATGACTGTACAAATATCCAGGATTATTTTTGTAGCGGTAAGTGCATTTATTGATGTAATGTACTACTTATTATTTTTTATAAAGTGCCAACATAGACCACAGCATTGTACAATAGATGGACTAACAAACAAGATGTTGCAACAGCAGGACAAAGATGAAAGCGTCCTGCTCAAATGAGCTTACAATCAATATGTAAAATATATGGTTTTATTGTGTTAATAGTGGGTGGTATGTTGAAAATTAGATGCATTTATATTATTTCTATACACAATTCAGTGAAGTCTGTGTCCTGGTATGACCCCTCTGAATAGCATGGTGACTTGTACTGTAAATGTTAATTCCCATTTTCTATGCAGTACAACGGAAAGGCTTCGATAGCAACAATCAAAAATAATACATATTATTCTAATTGTTGTGCTCAAACGAAGAGCAGCTCAATTTAGTGTGTGTTTGCATTTTATAGCTGAAAGGCTTTCCATACAAAAAAAACCAAACCTACAGAATGAAATCGATTGACTAATTAAATACTATTTAAAATGCTGTCAGCAACATATATAACAATAGTGCTACGGAAAAATACAATAAGTGAACTGTGGGAATTATAAATGCTAATTGAAAAGATCAAGCTTTTTCAAGAGAGTTAATATATGCAAGCCCTGC